TGTAGTGGTTTCTGAACGTTAACATCTGGTCACTCAAAACCAAGGAAGCGAGTTATCTGGTGACCACTCCTGTATGAGCAGAAATAATACTCAACTATGAATACTTTTTCCTCCATCGAGAGACCCATTTCCAACAACAACTGCACAACTTCCTTTTCACTACTGGGAACACGTGCAGCTGGAGCTATGCCCTGTTGACAAATGCACATGCGCATTCGATACGCGCGAGTTTCAGTACTGGATATTTTGGCATTTACTGTACTTATTTTATCCATGTTAACATGCTGAAATATACTCTAGAATTTATTAGTATTCTGCACTTAAGTGTTGCTCACTTCTTCCCCTTGCATGGTAGTTCCATTAATTTGGCTATCGTTATTTAAAAATGGCAATCACTAACATGAGCCATTACATTATTCCACTAATTCCAAGACTTCACAAAAGAGACAAACTGGCTGTGAACACACATGACCAGATACAGTTTGTTTTTGTTTTCACATTCAAAGCATTCAGTACTTTGAATGATTTGTCCTGAACTTGCCCTGATGGTTGGCACCATGATCAGACTGTGGTTTTCTCAGATCTGATACCATGTAGTATGGCAGATGGGTATAAACATTTCAGAATATACTTGACTCTCTCACGATAGGAGGCACTATGTATTTTAAAACATTGGTACCTACCAGAATACATGGTGTAATAATCCAGAATACCATAAGAGAGATCTTCACCATCATGAAAACTCCAGATTTCACTATGAGACTTCACTGCAAAATCAACCACTTAGCCTTCTTCATATCACAAACAGGTCAACAATTTTTTCCAGTTTACTATAGTTCACATAAATACTGCATCTGCAGTAGCTGAAACAACAACACATGACTGAGAAATAGCTCCTAAGGGTCCTTATTGTTCTTCATAATACAAGAGAACAGAGAAATGGCAGCATCACCAACAACATTCTTATACACTCCGTTACTGAAAATATCACAATTCAAAATGTTTTCTTCATATTTTGTTTTGCATCTGCAGTAGCTGGAACAACAAAGCATGACTGAGAAATAGCACCTAAGGGTGCTCATTGTTCTTTATAAGACGACAGAACAGAGAAATGGTAGCATCACTGATGGCATTCTTATACACTCCCTCTTATTGAAAATATCACAATTCAAAATGCTTTCCTCACGATTTGTTTTGTTTTATGTTACTTCTGTTGTTCATCATCTTCTACCACTGACTGCATTCACAGATGCCAACTAGAATTCAGAAGACCAACTGCATGCAGTTACTGTGATTATTATACAGAGTATAAAAGGAGTGTAATTTCATACTCCTTCCAACTCATCACACATCCCTAGAGCAGGAGAATACTGGTAGAAAACACATAATGGAAATGAAAGGAGGGTTAAAAGCTTGGTCCCTAAGTATCTATGTGTACAACGTAATGTGTAATTTCATAATTTCAACTAGTAATAGAACAAAAAAAAGTCATCAATGACCCACACACAATATAACCCGTGGATGAATAACAGGAAATGTACTAGAAGATGCTACTTCTCACTTGTAATTATAAAAGATGCTGTTCTTGGCTTACAGTACTTATCTTGCACAGTAAGCTGACTATGAATTAGTAGGAATGGCGCTGGAAGCAACCCTGTCATATTCTAAATTCTCATCATAGTAGCAGTATAGAAATAAAGAGATGTAACTATAGTTTCTGTCTGCCAAAGGGAAACTTAACCAAATTCAGCGGATCCAGCAATGTAGGAGAGTAACTCCTAAATTGTGTTCCATGGAATATTTGGGATCAGACAGAGAATCCATGACATTGCCAATTTCACTATGATGACCAGCTTGAAAGCAATTTTCGATTAAAACTACATGCCTGAATACACTTTCTGCCCCACAGCAAGCACTGTCATCCTGAGTACAACATAAATCATTATACACTGCATCAAAGGAGGAGGAAACTTCGCTACACCGCTGATTGCATCCAAAATTCCTCACAGATTGCTGCTGTAACTCCCAATAGCAGAATGAGTCATTAGCTCTGATAAACACACACGGTTGGGTGGCATGAACTTGTCACTGCAGTTAAGTCGCAGTTAGTCTGTGTTAGAGATGTCTATAGGCGGTGGACATATATACTGAAATGAAGTTCACTACTAAACAGTGTGTGTTTGTCAAAACTTTTGCAAGGAAAAAACTTACAGAAAATGTAAGTTTTGTCATAAATATCCTGATTTGCTAGTTCCCACAAAGTCATGTGTATCAAAGCTTGTGAAAAGGTGGCAGGCCATAGGTTTAGTGTGTGACATAAAGAAGCAATCAAAGAGGATTGTGCTGACTGAAGAAAAGTTTGGGATATTGAGGCACAACTACAGATCAGTCCTCGAAAGTCATTAAGACGCTTAGCACAGGAAACCGATGTTTCTCTAGGATCTGCTTTCACAGCCACAAAATTGATCAAATTTCACCAGTATAAAATAACAGGTGTATTGATCTGAAACAACCAGATTATACAGCAAGAATTCGTTTTTGCAACTGGCCGCTGCAAAATGTGCATGATGGAATCATGGATCCACAGCTTCTGTTCATGACTGATGAGGCGTGGTTTCATGTTAGTGGTCATGTCAATGCACAAAATGTACGACTACGGAGTGATGAAAATTCTCGCGCTATACAGCAAGTGCCTTTACACAGTGAAAAGGTGGGGGTGTGGTGTGCTGTAAGTTCGCAGCGAATCATTGGCCCCTTATTTTTCCATGAAACTGTGAACTCAACTTCTACGTTAATGATATACTGAATCCATTCTTCAAACAGCTGACTGTTGAAGAAAGACAATATGGGTATTTTCAGCAAGACAATGTTACAGCACATATGATTAAGGCATCCATGGTCGCAATATGGGAGGTGTTTGAAGACAGAATAATCAGCAAGGGACTGTGGCCTCCCAGATCTTCAGATCTCAGTTTTTGCAATTTTTATCTTTGGGGAAACCTAAAGGGAAAAGTCTACAAGAATAATCCTCGCACCACTGAAGCTCTGCAGAATGAAATAACATGTGTAATTAGTTCAATTACCATGGACCAATTTCAGAAAGTGTCGCATAATTTATTTATGTGATGCAAGGCATGCTTGCAAGCAGAAGGGGACAATTTCAGCACCTGTTATAAAGCAAGGTAAGTTTGTGTTATCTTTTTACGGTATTCTTATAAATGTGTGCATGTACGGAAACTGATGTGAGGGAATAGTCATGGAGAAACGATCCATCTGCTCGACGCTAGCGAGAGTGCATGCATTTATCAGCATGTATGACTCATTCTGCTATCGGCAGTTACAGCAGCAATCTGTGAGAAATATTGTATCCTACTCATGCTACTTGCCTGGTTTCCTCAATGACTGAACACCTTGTACTATACATTACATCCAATATAATATTAAATTTAAATATGTACATTTGTGCTGAATCCTAAGAGCTCAAAATGCACAGAAGAAAATATAACAATTTTTATTTAGTTTACCAAGTATATCATTGTAATTCATATGATAAATCCAACAACTAGAGATGGTACCTATGAACACCCTTCCTTTGACAATGGGTATTTATTAATAACAACAACAACAATAATAATAATATCATCATCTAAGAAGACAGAGCTTTAACCATTTTCTTCCATTTTTGGATTATGACACCATGTTATGGTGGGCTGATTATCTGAAACATCAGGCAGCCAATCCCATAGAACAGGTGTCCTCATCCAAAAACAGAAAAGATTAGCTATAAATTGCTGTGAAAGCCTGATGGCTTCCATGCAAGTATCATTTCACCTAACATTTGCAGTCATAACATGGAAAACAGTATGAAACACGTAGAATTGCTGGGTTTTTGGACTTTTTCCATTGTCTGGTATTCTAGAACACAGAAAACATAATGTTTTAGAAACTGGATCTGTTTCTGCCCTCAGGTGAGGGGGGAAGACACATGAGGAAGGAAATAGATCCAGTTTCTGAAACATCATGTTTTCTATTTTCTAGAATATTGGACGATGGAGGAAGTCCAAAATCCAAGTAATTCTGTGTGTTATACAACACTGTCAGAAACCTTTACAATCTACCAATATGAAACATGACCAAGTCTTGATCTGAATGAAGTTATATTACAGGATGTGGCATAAATACTCCTCAGAAAAGGCACAAACAATCATGTTGAAGTGTTTCCACACCATACTCAACAGAACTGGGGCTCGAATGGGGGATAATAGTTACAACAGCCAAGGAAAAGAAAGATGGAACAAAGAAGAGCTACCTCAGAGGACTGAAGTATACATTTTGGCAAGGAAAGCATTGTTTTCATATCAGGGCAATGGTTCAATGTAACTCTCATATTGCAATATGGAATCTATATCAGTGTCAGAGAAACTGCATCCCAAGTTTCGATAAATATGTTAAATCATATTAAACTATTACTGTACTCAAATTATGCAATTAAAAATGTTATATCATGTTTATCTTTGCCACAGTAACAAGTTGTCAGTCCTGTGTTTAATTTCATTATATACAAATTCAACTTACTGCAACAAGCTGAAATTTATACATGAACATCCACTAATGCTGCATAATTTGTCCACACTGATCTATTCCATTCCTGTTGGCATCTGGATTGTTATAACACACACAACCTCTTTACATGGAAAACAAATATTTCATCCCAAGTGAAAATAATTAGGTACTGCATTCTGAATTTGCATAATTTAAATGTATTATCACGCATATGAGTGTGACTAAAAAGGGGTTGGGATTCGTAATTGGATTAATTGAGCACTTACAGATCGTACCTATAAGTAACTTCAGCTCTACTGCTCATTCACACACTGTACAATTCATTACAGCACACACTTGAGTCTTTTCAGTATGCTGTGTCTTCACCAGTTGTCTGGTAATGGTTTCCAGCAGTGTAGAGCCCTTAATTTCACGTCCTCTGTTGTGTGTGCAATCACTGTTACGCTGATAGGTTGTTTATTAGCTCTTTACATGCTACAGTATTTTACAATTTATATACAATATTTCCTGTCAGCAGTTCAAGTGCAATCTAGAATTCAGTATCAAATATTACACATCTTAATCAAACTTACATCTATATATACAAAAGGTGGCCTTACGTATTATTCTGTATTAACATTCCACCAGTAAAGAGTTGTCTAAACCTTCAGTTGAGATGCAGAGAACATCCACTACTATGTCTGGGAGCAGATCAAAGCTTTCAACGCCATTCATACTAAGTAATATTCCCCCCATCAAAATATACGTTTGAACAGCCTAATTATATTTTTGTTAGCAAAATGCTGAATTATAGTGTAATGTTACAATGCAGACAGAGCAATATTCTTATAATTCTTCACAGGGTGAGTTCTTACTCGGTTCTGCTCTTATGTCAGCAATAGCATTTCAAACCTAAAGCTACAAATGAAGGGTTCAATACAAAACTCTTTAAATTTATTTAAATGCATATAGTTAAAGTGCACACAAATGAGGACCACGCTATAAAATGTTCTGAGCAATATGTCCACAACTACTAGAATTGTCACTATCACAGTTAACATTAATGTACATTATGTAAGATGCTCAATTCATCTCGAGGTTTAGAAAATTTATCACAATGAAAACTGTAATTTGGACCATTCATTCATAATCAACATATATATTAATAAGAAGACAATGCACAGACATAAAGTTAACATAATAGTGTTTTTTAAATTGCCTGCACTGAATGTCTATTTCGTAACTTTTAGAACAGTATACTAAGTTCATCATCCTACAGGAATCGTGTGAGAAACACCTTACGAGAATTCTGGCAGAAGCAGTGCTTCAGCGCAGGAATGTCTTCATTTTATGCTAAGACAAAAGTGTCAAGGGATTTCTGTTAACATACAGTACACAATATTTATAGCCAAGCAAATTTTGCTCACAGTCACTCGGAGACCACGTCAATCTATGCTCTGCTCAACTGCCTTCCATTATTAAAAGTTTGGACTATGGCAACTGACAAGAAAAAAGCTGTGGTAACAATGACATCAGACCTGAACATACTCAATGGTTGTATCATGCTTCTCTTTGCTTGGAAATGACATTTTATGTATGCAGATGTCTTTACATATGGTATGGACGGACAGCCATAACTTCTAAAATATAACCTTCAACATGATATTCATATTTTTATCACTAAATAGAATTTCTTCTTCAGAAAATCTGAAGAGCTTCTTTTGATCACTTGTGGTGGTTGTACTACAACAGGATGTTCCCACAGACGATAAGTAATTACGCACTTAAGAGTTAGGTCTCATCAGTAACACTTCTTCACTTGCTGTTACTGAATCTGCAAGTTTTGACTCACACTTACACTTCATACTTTCACTTTGGGCTTCAATTCTTCGGCAACACCACCCCACCTAAGTCTGTAGGTCCGTGCACGCCATCTTATCGCTGGGTCCCACAGAGCATGAAGAAACAAATATGGACTGCTACATTCTCGAAACAGCCAACCCATAACAAAATCAAATTTGTTAAATGGCAGAGAACCATTCTGTAATGGAAATGCTCATTAATAGCATAAGGAACACAAGTAACAAAACATATTTTGATTATCCTCACAGTAAACTTATTACCTGGCATGTATGAGGAATGGGGTGTGCCAGTTACATGGCCCTGCTGGTTTCATGTCAATAACGCTTACAGAAATCCAGTATGTAGTAAAAACACATATTTGCCTTATTTTTTGTAGAGGGGGGGTCTTCCTAGGTGACACAGCTGAGTGACGGTAAAAGATTTTGGATGAATATACTGTTACTTACTCACTCATGGAGCTGATCCCCTCTGGAGGAGTCGCCAATTCTGCAGCTACTCAAGAATTCCCAAGGATTTTATGGAACCCGAAGGTTTATCTCCGTGTTCACAAGAGCCCTCCACCGGTCCCTATCCTGAGCCAAATCAATCCAATCCATACCATCCCATCCTATCTCTCTAAGATCCATTCTAATATTGTCCACCCACCTATGCCTTGGTCTTCCCTGTGGCCTCTTTTCTTCTGGCTTTCCCACCAATATCCTACACACATTCATCTCCCCATTAGTGCTACATGACCTGCCCACCTCATTCTCCTTGACTTGATCATTCTAATTACACTTGGAGAAGAGTACAAGTTATGAAGCTTCTCATTATGCAGTTTTCTCCAACCTACTGTCACTTCATCTCTCTTCAGTCCAAATATTCTCCTCAACACCCTGTTCTCAAACACCCTCAGTCTATGTTTCTCCCTTAATGTCAGAGACCAAGTTCCACATGCATACAGAACCACAGACAAAATTATAGTTTTGTATATTCTAATTTTTATGTTCTTGGACAACAGATGAGAAGACAAAAGTTTCCGGACTGAATGGTAGCAAGCATTAGCCGAGTTCAATCGCCTCTTAATTTCCTCCTGAATCAGGTTTTGATCTGTTATCATTGTTCCCAAATATCTGAACTGTGCCACATTTTCAAAACATCTGTTTCCTATCTTTATGTTATGATTTTGCCCTGCGTTTTGGTGACAAGAGAGTACAACCACAAATTAACTTGCCTCTACTGTTATGGTATCTGTGTAAGGAAGAAGTACAGGTAGCAGAGCTACTGGAGGCTGGGTGAACTTATGTGCATCACAAATTTGTTTTTGATAACTTTATAAACATTGAAAGTCTTCTCTGAAATTTTTACTGGCTAGATGTGAATTCTGGATGTGTGGATATGAGGTAACTGAAAGTCTACTGTACTTAAAAAAGATATCACAGATAAATGCACTTCTTTGTCATTGCACTTCCTTCCAGATTCACTTATAACCATGTAACCATGTAAAGCACACAACCCAATCCATCAATGGCTTAGTTACTTGATAGGATGACTAATGTCAACAAAAATGTTTGATCTGAAGCATTACTGACATGAATTAATAATCCTTTGAAATTAGCAAAGCTCATGAGGAACAAGTATGGAGCAAAACTAAATGTTTTTAATGACAGAAAGTAAAAATTTTGCAAACAGTTACATATTGTAATGCAATACATTATGTACCAGAGTGAAAAAAAAAAATGCTGAGGAAAGGTGCATTCAAGAAGCTAAGGTACCTCATGAGCAAGCGAAAACCAAAGAAAAAACAAGCATGATATTCAGGAATTTAAGAAAATGAACAAGGCAGCTTACTTCGCTTGAGATTAGATTAAGAACTGCAGTTTCCCAGGTGTAAAAGAAGAAGAAAAATAACATACTGTGCAGACTGCTGTGTGTAGTATCAAAACTGGATTTCATTATGTACTAGCAAATTTGGTACATATAATATGATTTAAACATTTCAATGTGCCACACATACTTCTAAATTGAAATAAAAAAATTCCCAGCACATAAACGATACACACTATCTTGGCAAAGGTAAATGAATTTGGGCGATCATAGACTAATCCTTCCCTTAAGTCCCTGAATTTTACAATTTTTGATAACCACTGGCCTTCCTTTCCAGCCCTTAATCATGTGAGATCACTACACCCAAATGCCACATTAGCTAACATGCCTAAGATTTTTCTAACTGAAAATTCTGTGCTTCCTTTAAAAAGTTAAACATATGATGTATTCAGAATTTAAAAGTGCCATATTTAAATTCTTTTTGAAAGTACAATTACTTTTTTACATTTACATTTTATATTTACATAAATTACATTAACATCTTCCACATTCAGCATTACAGACATATGCAACATTCTGTGAAGTCCTATATATTGCTGTGGTAATCTCATAATACTACTGTTTTTTTTAAATTCCATACTTCATAAAAAAGAAATTAGTAATAGAGGTCTACAACATACTGGGCAAACACACCATATGTTGCAACAGTCATATTTTACCAGTGACTTCACTCTTTAGATTTCTTCTGTGGAAGGACAAATCACTGTAAATTTACATCTTGATTATAGCAGAAGGGAGCCAGAGTAAACTAACATTGTGTACAAGAAAATGGTGTTCATGAGGTCCATTGCTGTGCTTAATTATGCATCATGCCATATAGACATGAGAGAGTAAAAGTATAGGTCTGGGCATGCTGGTATTAGATGGAGGTGAGTTGTCAATTTCACGTGCTGGTTCCTTTACCCTCAGGAAAAGTGATCTGGTATCCAGTGGATGGGAAGCATACTAACTGGGCACCAGAGGCTGTGCCATAGTTCAGGTGGTTAGTCACTGGCTTCCCACTGTGGCAGCTAGGGTTCGTCTGGGTCAGGTCATGTGGGATCTGTGGTGGATGAAGAGGCACTGGGACAGGTTTTCTCCCAGTACTTCGGTTCCCCCTACCAATCTTCATTCCACCAACTGCTCCATAGTCACCATCTATCATGTGGGACTGGTACAATAGGTCAATAGTGGTCACAGTACAATGTGGACTCAGTCTCATCCCACTAAGAAGTGGTCACCAGAGATAATCTCAATGTGTTGAAGAAGTGAAAAATTCCTGCCCCTGCTAGGAATCAAATCCCAGCTCACAACTAAATAAGAACAAAGTAAAAGACATATACAAACTCTACATATCCTAGTCTCAGTATTAGATATGAGTGCTTAGCCTCATGCTCAGCTGACTTTACTGAATCAGGTATCCTTGGACACAGGGAAGGGGTAATCCAAAGTTCATATAAGCAAGTAATGTAATGTCCACTCCAAACCATTTTTTAGCTGGCGAGAATACTGATGGCTTGAATGTGAGGTAAATGTAAGACTTGAAATAGCTTGGGCAGTTAGTTGCTGGCTTCCCACAGTGGCGGCCCAGGTTACGTCATGTGGGATTTGTGGTGGACACACTGGCACTGGGACAGGTTTTCTCCGACTCTTCAATTTCCCCTGCCAATTCTCATTCCACTGACTACTCCATATTCATCACCATATATCATCTCGAGTTGGTACAATAGGCCAATTAGTGGCTGACGTATCAAGTGGACTCAGTTTCAACCCACCNGGGGGGGGGGGGGAGACTTGACATTTCATTTTGAATGTCTTGGTTTGAAGGTGCAAGTTAAGAGATACTCAGCAGCTTGTGAATACTATGGCAACAGAACAATGGCTGAATCATATTTTTGCTGGTGGCTGTAGGGATACAGATTTGTGCACAGTTATTGCTATTTATAACGAGTGAAGGGGCATCCTGTTGACTATTCAAAAGCCATTTTTCATTAATGTATAAAGCCTACCACATTATATATAGCATAAACATTAAGCTGCTTTTGCTATGATAAACTGTTTTAGCTCCAATTGTGAATATCTTCTCCTTTCTACAAAAATGTTACAAAGGGTTGGAGAAAGAGGCACTAGACACCCTTCATCTATATACTATACATCAACATTCAAGGGGTTTATTTACAGATGGCAGCCACATACATGTTCTCTGTTAAGTGAATGAGAAGTTGTTACTGCACCTGAATAATAGAAAGTAAGATCCAGTCAAGAAGAAACCAGACGAGGATGTGCACCAAGTAGAAGACGAGAGGATCCCAACTGAAGAGGAAGGAGACAGCCCATGATGCACATGCTCCTATTACCATACACTCAGACAAAGGCTCCAGGAGAATGGTATGAGGCACCATGGCTACCCGCAATTTCGCCCATCTACAAAAACAGGTTGACAAATATAGCTCACTGATTCATTATTTCAATCTACTGTTCTCCATAATGTATAATATAAAATGTTAAGAAAATGTTTATCTGCATCAGTGTAATTCCAAAATACATGGGAATTTATCATCCAGATCACAGAATGGAATTATCAGATTTCATTTAACATGGAGGTGTTCTTCCAAACAAAGACCTCTAGGTAAAAAGTGAGATTGATGGTAAGTTTACAGTTTGATGCCATCATACAAAATCAGAGGCTTGCATCTTGTACGTTATCTGCTGTAGAAATCACGTACATGTATCACATAATATACATCTTTGATATTGTAAGAGTTGACTATAACAAGTACTGTAATTCTTATTTACTATTTTCAGTTCAATACTTTTATGTTACCAATGTAATTTTGATATATTTTTATTTGTTGGATCCTGCCACACTCAGATTTCTCTCAGGATTGGTCACTGCAAAATGAAGATGAAAATACATATTTCAGTTATTTTGCATAATTTTCAAAATAACTTCATTATGCAGGAGAAGATTATGCCAACAAATAAAGAACTAGAAACCTACTACAGGTACTATTTTTTTATTGCTAGTGGGGTGGGACTAAGTCCCTTGCACTGCGGCCACTTCTGGCCTATTGTACCAGCCCAATGATAGGTAAGAGTGATTGTGGAGAAATTGGTGGAATGAAGATTGGCAGGGGAAACTGAAGTACTCGGAGAAAATCTGCCCCAGCGCCACTTTCTCCACCACAAATCCCACTTGACCAGACCCAGGATCGAACCCGGGCCACTGCGGTGCGAAGGCAGTGCCTAACAGCTTGAGCTATGGCACGGCCTACTACAGGTACTAAGTCACGCATTTTTATCTCAGTAAGTGTTTCACCTAAGAATATTTTATCTGTAGTAAGAGCAAAAGCAACATGATTGTACATACACAGAACTTATATTACATACCGAATATATCAGAAACCTATGTTGCATAGTAATAATTAATACTGACAGTTCAATTACTATCAAGCTTCTCTGCCAAGTTATAACAACCTCATAATCCAAACCCAAACTAAACCATTCTTCTTCCTTCATTTCTGACAAATGCTAATTCTTCATCTTGCTCTCATGCTACTCACTGGTTTACAGTAGCAACTGAACTTAATTTCATGATTTTAGGGAATCAGACTGCATAAATCACAATTATTTTCTGACAGCTAAGTATAGTACAAAAACTATTATGCTGAGTTTAATTTCATATGGCACTGTAAGTATTTATGAAAATCAAACGACTCCCATGGGAAAAAGTTAGAAGAATGCTGTTCTAAATCACTAGTATTATATAATGTGAAAGATTTCACACAGTATTCTATACTGATTTATTGCTGAATTAAGAAGTCAGAAAGAAAACAAAACAAATTAAACACAACAATATTTTCACATCTCCGTTTCAGCAATTCCCAAGAAAATGTCTATACAATGGTGAGTTGTAGCAAAATAATATTTTATACTTGTTACAAAACCCACTTTACCTATATTAATATTCAAAATATCGAATGGCATTAAAAACAAAGATAGTTAAACATGTATGGATTTTACAGCCATTCAGCAAGAACAAAATGATAAATGAAACAGCACATACTCTAACTACACATACTGCAGCAGGTTCATGATTCATTATGAATCATGTATCAGTCAGTAACTATTAAAAATGACATATATTCAAATGCCAGGTGATATTTACAACAGTAAAAGACAAAAAGAAATAAAATGAAGTTGGGTAAATGACTTGAAAACACTGGTGAAAAACAGAGGATGTGTCTTCACCATATTTGCAAGCAAACTGTAAGGTTCTGTATACAAAATTAAAATTAAAGAAGAGCAGATTACATGTCTGCTGAATGAAGTCTTTATAACCTTATGGCAGAAAATTGAAAATAAAGAGGGCATACAAAACTTTTCATGTCTCTGTTGTCACATTTAACATCATGCTATTACTTATTTTTATTAAAGTATTTAACATTAATCAGTTACCAAGAGTTAGTGAAACAGAAGGAACACTTCAAACTTATTCTTCTAATGAAAAATGCTTGAATATGTTAGATATGTAGGGTTAAACATGTTAAATGTTTACTGTGTTAGATGTTAACACATTGAAATCATGTGACATCACCTAGTATTGCCATGCTCTTGTCAGTAGCATTTTATTCAGCTATGAGTAGCTCATATGGTGACTAGATTACAGGTTTGATGGCCAGAGAATTGGAATTTGATTCCTGGTGGGGGCAGAGATTTTTCCCTTCACCACCATGCCCAGACTGGCTCTAGAGCACTCAGCCTCTTATTCAATGAGTACAGGGAGATTGGTTTCTTGGCCAGGACAAAGAAATGTATATTGTAGGTATAGTACACTCCTTGTGCACAAGATAGGCTTTCAAGTATGATGGCACCAACACTGACCTCCTCAAATATGCATCAGTAGAAATTAAAAAAAAAAAAAGAACTTACTTACTTACTTACTTACTTACTCACTCACTCACTCATGGAGCTGAGCCCTTCTTGAGCTGCCAATTCTGAAGCTACTCAAGAACTTCCCAGCATTTTATGGAACCTGAAGGTTCATCAACGTGTTCACAAGAGCCCTCCACTGGTCCCTATCCTGAACCAGATCAATCCAAACCATACCATCCCATCCTATCTCCCAAAGATCCATTCTAATATTGTCCACCACCTATGCCTTGGTCTTCCCACTGGTCTCTTCCCTTCTGGCTTTCCCACCAGTATCCTATATGCATTCCTCGTCTCCCCCATTTGTGGTACATGCCCTGCCCACCCCATCCTCCTTGACTTGATCATTCTAATTATACTTGCAGAAGAGTACACATTATGAAGCTGCCCATCATGCAGTTTTCTCCAACCTCCTGTCACTTCATCTCTCTTCAGTCCAAATATTCTCCTCAGCACCCTGTTCTCAAACACCCTCAGTCAATGTTCCTCCCTTAATGTCAGAGACCAAGTTTCACACCCATACAGAACCACAGGCAAAATTATAGTTTTGTATATTTTAATTTTTATATTTTTTGACAGCAGACAAGAAGACAAAAGGTTCTGCACCGAATGGTAACAAGCATTACTCAAGTTCAATCTCCTCTTAATTTCCTCCTGAATCAGGTTTTGATTTGTTATCGTTGTTCCCAAATATCTAAACCATGCCACATTTTCAAAACATCTGTTTCCTATCTTTATGTCATGATTTTACTCTACATTTTGGTGATGAGACAGAAACATATACTCAGTTTCTGTGTGTTTACTTCTAGATCAACCTCCTTACTTGCATCAATTAAACTTTGTGTGTTTTTCTTCATGGTATATATATATTATCACCAAGAACATTCACATCATCGGCATAGACCAACAGCTGATGTGTCCTGTTTAATTTCAGTCCCACCTGGTTTTCTTGGACTTTCCTAATGGCATATTCTAAAGCAAAGTTGAAAAGGTGTGGTGATAAATTCTCCTTGTTTTAGACCATTCTGGATTGGAAATTTATCAGAAAAATATTTACCTGTAGTTACTATAGGATTCTGATGATGGTGTATGACACACAGAGATATTTACCTATATAGACTTTACTATACGTTTCGTTTAAACACATTTTAATCAGCCTAATCAGTTTCATGGGCATCCCAAATTCTATCACAATACTGTACAATACTTCCCTCCTAACTGAATCATAGGGTTTCTGGAAGTCTACAAATGGCTGATATACTGTCTCATTGTACTCACATTTTTTCTCCAATATCTGACGAATGCAAAAGATCTGATCTGTAGTTATTCTGTTACGTCGAAACCCACACTGCTGATCTCCAATAATTTCATTTATATATAGACTTAACCTTGAGAGAAGAATATTGGATAAAATTTTGTATGAAGTTGATAGCAGTGATATCCCCTGATAATTACAACAGTCAGTTTTATCAACCTTCTTGTGAACTGGTACAATAATAGACTCCTTAGCTTATGGATCAAATAATTATTATATGTTGGAACATGCATAAAATCCCAGAATGGACAAGAGGGGTAATTTGCCATATCTTCAAAGAAGGAAATAGACAGGATTGTAAAAATCACAAAGAAATTACTTTACTGAACATGGCTTATGAGGTTTATGCTAAGATTATAACCTGAAGACAGCACAATTAATAAACATACACTTTTGGAAGGACAATGTGGGTTCCTTAAACAAAGCTCATGTTGTGACTGCATATTTGTAATGGAGCAACTTATTCAAAAAAGGCGAGAATTCAATTTGCCAATGTATATATTGTTTATAGATTATGATGAGCTGTTTGTCAGAGTGTATCAAGGTAAGCTGTGGAATATACTGAATAAAGGATTTCCTGATACCACAGTAAAAACTGTTCAAAGCCTCTATATTAACATAAGGATAAATATATAAGGATAAAAACTGACAAGGGAACTTTGGTTGCCAATAAGAAATTACATATAAATCAAGGAGTAAAACTGGGATGCACAATGTCCCCAACATTACTTAATACTGTCACGTGACAGAGTGTGACTACAAATGGAGTTTGGATTGGTAAATGGATTTACTGAATGCTTACAGATCCTAACTACAAGTAACTAGAGCACTACAGCTAATTCACACACTCTGCAGTTCATTAGAGTATATACTAAGTCTTCTCAATCTGCTGTGTCTGCACCAGTTTTGCGGGAACAGCTTCCAACAGTGGACATTCCCCTTCCTCTGCGTTCCTGAACTATTCCTGTGCCTCAGCTGCCAGCTTCTAACAGCAACAGCTCACAAGGACTGAACCACAGCAGTCCTCTCCTTACCAACAAACTACACTACACTATCACTAATTGTCCTCCTTATAACATCTTGGCACAGACCACACAGAAAACACCATTCCTGTGTAGATGTTTGCAGGCCAGAGCCTAGCAACGGCGGCTATACAGTCTATCTTGAAGGTCGCCAACTACCAACGAATCTATATGCCAAAATATACTTACTGAAGAAGTAATTCAACAATGGCAAGATGTTTCAACCAATAAAGTTCTAAATACAGTTTGCAGGTGATCAGGCTATTTTCAGTGAATCGGAGGTTGGCTTTCAAAGAACAGTCAACAGACTTGAAAACATAGCAAGCAGCTTTAATGTTGAGAATTTCAACCATGGAAACAAAAACTCCAGCATTTCAGGGTAACAATCACATAAAATGTAAAACTATGATAGAAAACAGAACAGAACAAGTATGAAGCTTTAATTATTTGAGTGTCAATGTATGATACTGCCTGAAAGATGATACAAGTATTAAACTACATAAATTTCAAAGAATGTGTGGAATGATATGAAGAACACTGAGGCAAAAAACCTAACAAATTACACAATTAAAATTTTATAAGGTAGACAGTGCCTATGCTGACTTATGCAAGTGAAAACTGGACAATAAACTGACCAGACAAAAGGAAAGTACAGTCAGTTGAAATGAGGTTCTACATCCAATAGCTGGATACATTCTCCTAGATCGGAAAGAAAGTACAAATATATGTTCAGAATTAAAAATATTCAATTTAGCTAAGAGAACAGAAAGGTAAAAAGAGACCTGGTATGAACATATTTTAAGAATGACAACAAACAGGCTACCAAAGACATTACTAAAATTATAAACCCAGAAGACACTGATGTATTGGACAACCCATAGCTACATGGGAGGACATATTCTCTTGAAGTTGGAAACATGCCAATGGCCTATATCTTTGAACATAAGCGAGAACAGAGGCACAGCATATTTGTTCATTATTAGCCTTTCCTGTTTCTTACATGTACTTCAAAAGTAATACATATGAGTTTAATAATTTTTGTACATTACACATGTAATAAGGGAGCTGGGATAGCACAGTTGGTATAGTGATTAGGCTACAAGCTGGATGACTCGGGTTCAATTCCTGGCAGGGGGGAAAGAGTATTTTCTGTCTTATATAGTGTCCAGACTGGCTCTGGGGTTCATCTGGACTCATATCAAATGGGTACTAGGGGCTCTATCCATGGGAATAAAGAGACAGGAGCATAAAGCTGCCCACTTACCTCTGTCTAGTGCTGATATCATGAATGGTATAGCTATACCTCTACTCCCTCACATTGCTTCATAGCAGAGTGCTTAATTACATAATTAAGTACAGTGATAACTTTGTCTCTTACCTTAACACATGGGCAATAAAGTTTTTCATTCAGAAGTGAGAACTGAGACACTGCATAGAATGATATCATGGGTGGTGGTGGTGGGGAAATGGAGGGAAAGAAATAGGGGAACTAAGTTCTAATCTTGAAATCCATTCACATATGCAGAGTCAAACATTATTCACTGTTAATTTTAACAGAACAATACTGCTCTTCAAATGTACAAATGATGACTCAGTCTGTTACAGTGAAATTACATCCTGCAATTTTATCCATTTTAGCTATACACAACACAATTGCATTTGGTCCCAGGAATATTAAACTGATGTTAGCAATGACAGCTATATCACACATTACAGAATGTTGCAGAGTAAAACACACATTCCATCCATTTTTGCTCTTAACACTGACCTGGTTAATCGAGCCTGAAAACTATTTATTTCACAAACACCGGAGTTCTGCCATGCTGGTTGACTGCTGATACACATCCTCCAGCCTCTTTCTTTTAGTGATTTGGCAAGAAAGAAATCTTCTGCCAAGTAACAGCTGAATGCTTCAATTCCCCCAACTTCATCAATCAGAGCCTTGCGCATTAGAGCAGACATTCCTGTATGACAATTTACTCGAAGAAAATCAGCAACTAAGTAGATGCGTGCTTGTGCAGTGCCAAAATAAACCTGCAAATTAATAAAATAATTTTCTGAAATACAGCATCATGTATACTGATATTATAACATCAATGTTAACAGAAACCTGCTTCCACTGTGCTGGTGGTGGTGGTGGTGATCATGACAACTATGTTGTCATCAATATTATCACGATCGTTTCAGAATTTCAAGCAAAACAAATATAATAAATTCAATCAGAAAATTTAGACTGTGACCTGTGTTGCAACAGTGTGTAATCATATAGGTGACAACACAGTGTCACAACCCAGGGGGTCACAATATAAGCTTACACTGCTATGAAAATAAAAAATTCCTTGTCAATAAGGAAGCAACAATGGATAAACTGTTTTCAGGATTATGGGACTCAATAGTCCCAGATGCACTTACTCTCCAATATTCAATACTTATACATGGCCAATAACTTCAGGAGACTAAAATACAGTTCTAAAAAGTTTAAAAAATAACATGGTTCACACGGTGAACTGTGTGAAAAGGCCATATCTGAGTCCATAAGGAGAACAAGGAAAATAATGGCTGTCATAATGGTAGACTTAATGAGAGAAGAGTGCCACAGTGGTCCTCTTCTCAGTCCCATCTATCCAGTTCACTTTACCCACAGATTCCAAATTAGCCCCTTTCATGTCCACTTATGGCTCCATTTCCAATTTTCCTTTTCCCACATATCTACACATAATATTCATTCAAAATAATGAAGATGGAGGCAGAACGTTCATCAATGTTCACAACAGTGAAACAATACTTTAATAATAATAATAATAATAATAATAATAATAATAATGATTCAATTCTTTATTATTTATGTGTTAAGTTAACAACCGCAAGGTCAATTATAGATAGAGCACAGTGTAGTAGTAGTAACAATAACAACAATAATAATGACGACGACAATGACAATAATAATGGATGTTACCTATACGTGAAAAAGAATTGGGATCTAAAGAAAAACACCATATTTACTTGTGTAATTTAGGTATTACTTTTTGTGTCCATCAGTCCATCCACCCACCCACCCATCTGTCTGTCTGTCTGTCTATTCATGTTGCTCCCACTTGGAGCATAAGGCAGCTATGAAACACTTTGTTTCACTTTGTTTTCTAAACCGTAGACAGTCAGTAGGTCTCCTTGGATGGGGGATCTTCCTGATGCAAGGGTGCTACCTACTAAGGACAACACACACATAGAATAAACGCAGACAAACGTCCATGCCTTGAGTGGGATTTGAACCAATGATCCTAGTGTTTGAGCGGGTGGAGACATTTCATGCCTTAGACGACACAGTCACTGTGACTGGCAATTCAGGTACCAGTTTTAATAAAAATTTCATATCCAAAATTTGTAATGCATAAAATATGCGAACACTACTTCTTTGTGTACAATATTACAAATCAGACTGAGGTTAGGAAAATCAGTTGCATAATACTGAGATAAAGATATGTTGTGAGAGAAATGGATGCAATTTCTATTCTTTTCTGCACAATCTGTAAACATCCTTTCACAGCTGGCTGTGCAAATGTTGTATTTCTTATTGTTTGACACTTTTAAATAATTATGTTCCGAATTTAACATACAGACAAAAGAAAATTCCCTCACCACACTGACTGCAATGAGTCACCTTAAATGTAACAAATTTTATGGGGTAATCCCACTAACAATAAGGGATTATTATCACAATCCCCCCTGCCAAGCTAGCTTTCAATTTGCTACAAATGTCTCCCATGTTTAGTGAGTAGATATCAGTCCCTCTTCATAAGAGGAAGTAACATAAAGAAACCACTAGCTGGTGCAGTGGTAATGCTCTAGACCAGTGTTTCTCCTTTCTTATGAAGCACCCCTCTGTATAAAGAAACCAGTTTGAAATACCTCAAGTACCTGCAATTTTCAAACATATAATTTTTTCCTCACTTGCAATATACATGTTTATACAATTTAACCACAACTGTTTGTTTGGAAGAAATTACCTATAGGCAATGAATTTTCTGTCATATAAAAATGTCTGTTAAAATAAAAATTCAGCCATTTCAGCTGGACACACCCCAAATTTCTCTTGTATACCTATAAGGATACATGCACCATCAACTGAAAAGCACTGCTCTAGTCTTATATTTGGGGGATGCCCAGTTTGAATCTCAGCTGGGCCACCTGCTCTCCTGACTGAGGTTTCCTGTGGTTTTCCTCAATACCTCCAGGCAAACACCTGGACAGTATCTAAATTAGGCTATGACTGTTTCTAACGAGTACTGAGGTCAACAATGGTGAAGCTATACTTCCACTCCCCCACATCTTCATGGTGTAGTGCTTAACTGTTTAATTAATTAAGCACAGGGACGTTACTTTTACGAATTTTCTTCAAAATCCTTTTCAATTAATCATGCATCGATCATTCTACTATTCAATACTATATAGTCTAGAAACTGTCATTCCATAAACAACATAAAAATACATACTTGTATAATGAAATCACAGAACCAGTGACTGAGCCTAGCTCTTTCCAGTGGACATAACTGAGTAGGTGTCTCCCACCCCCTCAACTGAGGAAGGAAACAGATCCAGTTTCTGAAATGTTGTGTTCTTTAGAATACTGGACAATGGATAAAGTTCAAAAGTCCAGTAACTATAGGTATTAATTCAGTCAATCACATTTCAATAGCTACATAAATTTTCACTTTCTTTATTTGACATTTTCCTTGATTTCTGATTAATTTTAAATGGTCCTGTCTGAAATGTAAAATGTGGGTATGACTGTATATGTAATATGGGCAAAAAACTCAATGGGGCTTGATCATGAACAAAATTGTTGTGTTGGGCAATATATCTTCAGTATCTAAATGTATTGGGTTGTGCACAAAATGATTCAGTATTTGATTTAGTATTAATTATTCAACCGTGCAATGAACGATGTTTTGTAACATCGTAACACTTACATAAGATCATGGAAATTAGTTCTTACTCTTCCAGAGTGCACTACAGTCATGCTGTTCGTATCTAAATATATTGGGTTGTGCACAAAATGATTCAGTATTTGATTTAGTATTAATTATTCAACCGTGCAATGAACGATGTTTTGTAACATCGTAACACTTACATAAGATCATGGAAATTAGTTCTTACTCTTCCAGAGTGCACTACAGTCATGCTGTTCCTGTTCATGCACCAGTTTACACAAGATGGCTGACAAAGGAAGAATGTCTGTAGAGTAATGCATAAAAACAGTGATGTTCTTTATTGAAATAAGAAAGTTGTGGTTACACGGAGGTGGTTTTGTGCCCATTTTCAAATGTGATGGGTGCCTGCATTCAAAACAATTCATAAGCTTTATAACCAATTTAACATTAATGGTTTGGTGTTGTTGAGAAAACGTTGCTGGCCTTTGTGGGTTCTCTGGAGAACACTGACCCTATCAGAGTGGCACTGTAAAGAAGCCCCAGTAGATCAACAAGGAAGGCTGCACCACAGCTAGGGATATCCAGATGATCTGTGCAATGAATATTGAAAAGCAATTTGAATTTGTATCCATACAAAATGAGAGTGTTGCCTAAATGTACAGTTCAAAACAGACATCAAAGAATTCCATTTGCTGAAAGGGCTCAGAAAGAGATATCATTGAACAATGTTTGGTTTTCTGTTGAGCCACACTTCCACCTGGATGGTGTGGTTAATAAAAAAAAGTGCGTGATTTTGGGCATCAGAGAATCCAGGCATGACCCATGAGAAGGTGAATCATGCACCAAAATTACAGTGTGAGTCACCATCTCAAATCACAGACTGCTAGGATCATTTTTCTGAAGAGACAGTGATCAGTGAGCGCTATTTAAGCATGATACACAATACTTTCATGCCTCATCTTCTTGCTACAGGTTTGCCATTACAAACTAAGTGGTTCATGTAGGATGGAGCCAGGCCGCAGAAAGCAAATGTTGTTTTGGACTTTCTGCATGACACTTTCAACTCATGTGTCATTTCAAACCGATTTCCTGATCATTTGGCATGAGGACAGAACTGGCTCTGAATAGTCCTGATTTAAACCCATGTGAATACTTTCTTTGGGGATTCTTTAAGAAAAAGATTTTTGCAAAAAAGTCATTAAGCAATAATAGAATTGAGAGCACTAATCATTCAAGCCTACAATGTGATAACTGAGGATAAGTGCTGCAAGTAATCAACATCACGGTTTGTTTTGAAGAAGTTGCCAGATGTAATGGTTGTCATACTGAACACTTAATTCACAGAGGACAAATCTCCATGCAATTGTTTTTCTTTTTGTGTGTTAGTTTCTAGTACTCTAACTGAAATAAAGATTTTATGAATAGATCAAATACTGAATCATTTCGTACATCACCCTGTACATGAATACTTGAAGTAAGACCGTTCAGCAAACAAATATAGAACCTATACCTTTTCTAACGTAGCTGCAAAACCATCACGGTCACATGTAAATGGCATCTGGTGGACCAGACCAACATCTTCTGTCATACACGAAACCATATCCAATAACGTGTCTTCTTTCACTGTAAAATCCAAACATATACAGTTAGGTTTCTACCTTTGTTGACTGGTTCATGGCTCTGTGCTTCACAGTGACCAGTGTAAAGCTAGCTGCAAGAAGCATATGAATCTTGATAATGAATCAATATGTCTGTTGGCTGATAACATTGGGAATACAGTAGTTAGAACTCACAGATCACAGGTGGTGCTGAAAATGCTATCCCTCTATATGTAGACATTCCTCACACCAGCAGAAGAGGTTCTGATTTACCCTTTGAAGCTGTTCTACAGGAATATTTGCAATTTTCTTATGAATACTTTCTTTTAGTTCTTCTGTTCGGGGGTTCCTGTCATAAACTTTGTCCTTCAAACAACCCCAGAGGAAAAAATCCCTGAAGACATTAGATAAAGCCTGCATAGAAACACGTGCAGTGTGGGCAGTAGCTGAGTCTTGCTGAAACCAGATATACGTGGGTTACTTCAAAAGTCATGGCAAACATAATTTTTCTGAAATTTCGAAAGCTCCAACCGGAATTTCCAAATTTGCCACTGAGAGATGGCAAAATCTGATTTCCAATGATGCCGCTAGATGATGCGGAAGTCCAAGGACAACGAAGCAAATCCAGAGCGAAGTCAGTGTGATCATAACCTTAGCCCAGAATGAACGTTAGCTGGCTGAAACAGCATTGTTACGTGAAAATAGCATTGCTTCACGGCAGAAATGTGACTGAATGTCACTCAGAGCCTGTAGAAGCTCTGGGTGATCATGCTCTACCACACAGAACTGTTGCAAGGTGGACAGAAGCATTCCAACATTGAAGAGAAGCAAGTGACGACTTGCAACGTAGTGGACACCCTGTGTCCGTTTGTACCAATGTTTCTTGTGCAGTGATCGCCCAGGGCATGGAGGAAGATGGGTGCTGGTCTCTGAAGGAGTTAGAGAGACATACAGGGATTGACCAGGCAACTGTGCATCAAATTTTACGAAAAGACCTACACATGCATAAGATTGCAGTGAAGTGGGTGCCGCACGAATTAAACAAGGTTAAAAAGTGAACACGTTATGAAGCAAGCCGTGTGAACCTCGAATGATATGAAATTGAAGGAGACAATTTCTTGAATCGGGTAATTTCCATTGATGAAACTTGAAACATGGAATTTTTTATTTCTTAATCACAATTGAATTTTTTGAGGATTAAAGAATGAAAAAAAAAAGTCATTCATTCCATAATGTTTAATGTTTCTTGCCTACTATACCTACGCCCCTTCACATCTACCTGATCTGACTAAGCCAATTGGAGGGGTGTATCATGCCCGTTCATAAGTATATTTTGAACTTTCTTCACTGTAACGTGTTTTCCCAAAAATAATAGTTGCCATGACTTTTGAAGTAACCCACATAGATTCTTCTGTTAACTCTGGAAAGAACTGCCCAAGAATGACCCGTATCTGTCTTTCATAATCAATTCTTCATTAAAAAAAACCTAGGTCCAACATCCTTCTTGCACTTACAGGATACCAGACACCAACTTTCATCAGATGGAGCAGGACTACATGGGTTAGATCTAGATGTTTCAGAGATTTTCTAGGTGTGTATTCAAGTCTGGCTCCTATGTCATCTTAACTTTTCCTCAGCAAACACTCTGCACTTATGTTTTTGTTTCTTATTTATTAAGAGTCCTATTGATTTAATTTTAGTCACAAAACTGTGAATTGTTTGTCTGCTGGGAAATCTTTTACCATGAAATTAATGTAGAAATTTTTGCCAACACCTTCCAGCCAATCCATATTTCATGTAGGTGTCATGCAAAAATATTTGGTTCTCTAAAGTATACTGTACCATGATGGAAAATGGTGCTCGCTAACTGTATCTGAGAATAACTGGCTAATGGAGCTGGTAACTGTTGCCCACTGCTGACAAACCATAAACATATTCCCACATAAGAACCACAATGCTCGCTGTGAAACATAATGCCGTAAAGCAGTCCACAAAGTTAGTAACTTTCCTTAATTCCAAACATTATCAGCCATCATGCATACTGAATCATTGGCAAAATTCTTATGTGCCTCACAGTTGGCAGTGCACTGGTCGCTGTGAACCAGTCAACAAAGGTAAGAACCTCCCTGTATAAATTAACACACCTGTATTACTGGAAAGGAACAAATAGTCAATACAATGCAGTATTCAGAAATAGCGGTGAAGACTTGTTTACCTTTGCAGAACAAAGTGAACACTGAACACCACTATATTCACGAACAGGAAGCATCAAAAGATTACACAAGACAAGTTCACTAATGTATTCACATGTATGTGAATGTAAAATGAGGGTAGAACTGTGGATTATTTAACAATGTTATATTAAATGTGGTTACTTAACAATGAATAAGATGATTATTATGTACGGTGAGGTGGAAAGGACTTGGAAGGAAGCTGGCATATTCTATCTCTACACACAATTCTTATATTTGCTTGGAGGGACACAGGAAACCATAAGCACTAATTATAATTAGTGCTCTGCCAGTATTTATAGTAGATACCTCTCTAAGGCATGTAACAGGTATCACTGCCTGAACTAACTAAGCTGTAAGATGAGGACTTCATTCATATCGATTGTAGGTTCTTACATTCCATAGATAACAGCACTGAAAACAAGTATGAATGCCTTCTAGACCTGTTCAAAATTAATCTTATCCTCGACCATATAGGTAACAAAAATGTAAAATTCTGTACCTTCAATACCAGAATACAGTACTTCAATATTTATGTAACTACTCTATGGAAAGGACATCTTTCTTTTAAGCAGTCCCTAAAAACCTCACTGCTTGGTATAAAAATGTTTGAATTGCGTGAGTCTAGTACTGGCTGTGGAAAGTAAGCAGATAAACTTCAGTGAGTTGTGCTTTAATAAATAGTAAAAAGTAAAAAGTAAAGCTATCCCTGTACCAGGCCATGAAGGCCCATAGGGTTGTGAGACGTTGAGGGTCCAACATTATCTAGACAGTCAGCTCAAAGATGGCAGTAAGGTTGCGTCCCTTACGTGCCGACCATGCCTTATTCCCCAGGAAAATTATTTAATTGATTCCTGGTAATCATTTCTGTTAGAGGCTGAGTGAACGCCAGGCCCATAGTGCCGCTGGAAGGAATAGGTCAAATGAAAAAAATCCAATGACCTCATAGGGACTAGAACCTGCGACCTTCCGGCTTGTAGCATAGTCCCTCAACCAACTATGCTACTACGTGCCCCGAGTTGTGCTTCAGTACAGTACATAAATCTGTGCCTACGTAAGACCTTACTGGCTACGTGTGGTTACTCACTGCATATTCAGGGAAGGATATGACAACAGTTCCCTCAGAACAACAGTTGTACCACTGAAATTAGCAGAACCCTTGCTTCATAAGGGACATAACAATTTAGATGGAAGACTTTTGTAATTTCCCATTTCAGATTAAATTCCAGAAGTCACACAGGACTGACTGTGCAAGGGATCTAAGCTTAAGAAGTCACAGAAGAATGATTGTGAAGTCATTCTAAAATAAAACAGGAAAATGTACTTTCAAAAGTATAGATGGGTGAAATTAATGTGCAACACACTGGACCAGTGTCCGTAATCAAGATGAACGACAAGAAGACTAGCAGTGACCTTTATGTTCCAGTGAAGAAACAACCCCTGCCACCACAAACTGAGGTCAACAAGAAAAGTTGAACTACTATTTGAAAATAGTATGTTACACCTTACTGAAGCAACTTTATGGAAGAAAAGCCCTGTGTGTTCCAAGAAGTATGCCATATGAGGACGCCAGGGGCCACCATTTATAGGTTGAAGAATTTAATACCAACTTTCACAAAACTTTCACATAACTGTAAATAATGATGTCATACACTGGCTTACCTTGAATAAATTCCCCAAAAGTGCATCTGTAATATGTTAATACAAAAGACAGAACAGTCTGTGATTAAGCCTATTAATTTATGTAAATATACTATGCATCCTTCCATGTGTTACTGTGGCAACAGCAGAACAGTCACATGCAAGGACCTTGATGGGAGGGGCTTCTTTTGAAAGGTAAAAGCTGCACTCTTTTGTGATGATGTAGCTCCTACACTGAAGTAATTTCATGCACGCTAAGCTCATTTAAGTATGATTTTAATACATTTATAGTGTTAAGTATGGATTCTCAAGTTTCAGTATTTCTCCTCCTGCACTATATACAATACAAACAGAAGAATGATGAATATTTTCAAAACATTACACATTTAAAGCCTGTAAGAAATTCTCAGTTTATGAAGCTATTAGGCACCTTCCATGAAGACAATCAGGAAATAAAAAACAATCAGGTAAATCAGGTAAAATTACATTTTTAAACTATCCTTTATGAAAGTGATTGCAACTACGTCACTTCTAAGTAATATACTTCAAGAATGTTATTATAAAAGTTTACATCAAACATCTATTTCAACAATGGCATAATGAACAACTACATACAGTGAGCATCATGAATGTTTTAAGTGTATATAGTCTTATAAAAACATTTACGTATTGGTGGGTTCCTGATCGTAGTGGTATACCTCCGATGATGATTCATTAAGAATCGAAACATGTTCAGTAACTAAGTGCTGAAGTGGTGAAAGCATTATATGTCACATTGGACTGAAATAAACTTAATTGTAATTGTAATCAGGTAATTTCATCATGCATGGCAATATTAGAATGTGTACTCGTATGTGCAGCTTTCAGATCTGCAATTTAACAGGTAAAAACTGTTCTCTCAAAAAGCTTAAACCCCACACACCCAAAAATCCACAAACATGTGATGTGTGTACCAACATGTGAAGTCAAGATACAGTGTAACAGTGGCCTAACTACAAAGTAGCCTTGCATGTCGATCAGTGATTCAGGACACATAACAAAAATAATTTCTAAGCTAATAAGAATTTCTTTTCAGGTCCGTCCAGTCAAATTTAATCTTTCCTTAACATAAATAATAAAAACACATTTCATTCCACTTATGGAAGGTGAATAAATGAAATGAAATATATAACATAAACATTCTGCGGACACTCAATGGCACACAGTCAATATTTTCTAGATACCATTCACAAAAACTGAATGGACAGGGTTTAAATGTTCCCAGTCTGAAGGGTTAAAGGTTTAGCTAGTTACTGAACAATTTTGATATTAAACATCCCTTCTATACAACAAGCAACTTACATCTTCCTTTCAAGTTCTCACATAAAGATTTTCACTTGAAAGTGTATGGAATGGGTTCTCACCCTTTACATTAAAAAAAAATAAAAAAAGGTGACAGTAGCTGCATAAAAAATGGTGTCAAAGAGGAGCTTATCAAACGATTGTCACTAACATTGATATATATAAACTAATGTCACAAAAATAAGTGAGAAATATTTCAATGCAAAGTGATATAATGAATTCAATGATTACTTACTTCTTATTCCACTGTCTGATATAAGTATGAGCTCATACTTTGCTGCTTTGAAACCTGGTTGCATGTTGTTAATTTTTGGATTTACTCCAACATTGGAACCACCTGAAGAAGAAAGAAAACATGGTATCTGATAACGGCTTTCTGTCACTCTTAAATTATGGCTGAAATCCCCATCAAAGAAAACAAATGAAATTAAGAAAACTGCAGTTGTAGGAAAGTTGGACAACTGCTAAAGGACTACAGATACACTAATGATGATACTTTAAGAACACCCATATACAATAAGCTTAAAGCATGTTTGCTTCCATTTCATAAAAGATTGAATACAGATCTAATTTATCAGATGACAAACTGCTATGTTATGTCTGTGGAAACACGTAGCTTCATGTAAAAGATTATTTAATTAAAAACAAAGTGGCCTCCATAGTCTAGGGGTAACATTTCAACCTCATGACTCAAGATATGAGGGTTCAAACCCGGCGGATGTCGTGGAATTTTTAAGGGCGGAAAAATTGAGGGAACAAGTCCTCCGGGAGGGACTATCAGCTGTGGGTCCCGTGTTGTAGATTTACGGCACATTAAAGATCCTCATGTCTCTAGGAGACCTCTGAGCAAAATTAGGCAAAAAGTTTCCCGCCCAAGTAGTTTCCAATGCCTCTGGTAGATGGGGGAAGTATCGGGTACCAAGGGCCAACCTCGTTGGCTGAACAGGACTGATAGCACGCACCAGTACCGGTAGGGTATGGCGACTGGTAGAATATCAAAGGGGGACGTACAATAGACTATTAGTTGCGGTGCATGGGGAAATCCACCCCCTCCAATAATAATAATAATAATAATTAAAAACGGGTATTGGTGGTGGGTAGACCATGTATTTTAAGCACATTTCTTGCTATTCATAAGCAATAAATAAATATTTTTAGACTGAAAGTTATTGGATTTACAATTTTAACATAAAATTAAAATTCACGGACCACTCAGAAATCCCTGGCACTATGCTACCAGCCACAAGGTCATGGGTTTGATTCCTGATGAGGTCATTGGATTTTCAATTGACCTAATCCTTCTAGCTGCACTATGGCCCTGGGGTCCACTCAGCCTCTAACAAACAAGTATCAGAAATCTTCCTAGAGGTAAGAGGCAGCTAGTGCATAAGGTTGACAACCTTACCGCCATCTGTGAGCTGACTGTCTAGAAAATGTGGGAACCTCGATGTCTCACTACCTTATGGGCCTCCAAGGCCTGTTACAGGAATAGCTTTACCCTTTTTTTCAAACCCTGTTCATCTTTTTAACTTATCACCATGAATTTTCTACAAGAATCTGGAGTTCAATACAACTTTTATCTTACAACACGATATCACATCATTCATGTAACCACCTTTTCATCTTACTTACATTTTATGTACATATTTCTTCTTGAAATCTAATTTGATACCTTCATCAGTTAGTATGACATTCATAATGATATAATTTCTCCAGTCTCTTGAATTATGTCATAACCAGTTTGACTGTACTTGGGGAATATTTCTGTGAAAATTACCAGAAAATCATGGAAATTTCTTTCTAATGTTAAAATACTACTCAAACTTACCAGTAAATAATCTGGAACTAACAGTTGGATATTTCTCAGTGAGCTGCATGACTACCATAACAGCAGGATCACTCTTATCTTCAACACAAAACAGAAGCTCATACTGAAAAGAAGAGAAAACTTGTTTTATATCACTGAACCAATAAGTTGTCCAGAAAGTTCTCAGCTGAAATTTTCATAAATACTTTGCAGTTCAGTTCTTAACAGATGATACAGAACCCAAACTATGCTAATCTACAGACATAGAGGTGTAAATAATTTCTTTTAGGAAAACAAATTGTTAAATATCTACAGACTACCTATGAAATGTATGTAGTTGTAATCAAACCTTATGAAAAGTGTGTAACACATCTAGTATACTTAGAGATTAAGGGGTATATAATACTGTTATGATCAAAGCAAGGTAGATATGAATCTGAGAGAAAAGAGTAATTCAAACTCGATACAGTAGTAATGTAATCATGATAAAGTGCTACAAAACTAAGTGGGATGGAAGATTATAATTTTGTGCCTCACCACTCACTATTAAAATATGTATATAGAAAATGGGCAATTTTAGAATCACATCACTTCACGAAGCACAAAGGTACTATAACATATGTACACCATGATGAAAAAATGGAAGGAAGGAAGGAAGGATTTCACTTATTTCTGAAGCTCCAGAACTATTACAATTATACTACTACCATATTATTTTACAGCATGTAAATCTTACTTACGGGAAAGTGATATCCAGCATGGAAGTTACTGGTTAATACGAATAAAAATCGAAGCTAATTTTTAAAGCCTCCTGCAAGCTTTATTAAAGGGTGAGAAAAAGAGGATTATTTCCTTACTCTGATAAAAAAATGTAATTATGACTAATCATGACTTAATTCCGTGTATTTGCTTTTAATGTCTGATTTGTCTAAGAACAAAAATAACTTCTCTACTCACCACAGGATAATTCATTGTGAAGAAAGTCTCCAGGTTACAAAATAAGTTGGGGTCTACACCCATCAGTGGTTTCAAAATTGAAACACCTGGATAAGGAGTTTCGCATGGCAGTTGAGTAACTTTTTTATGTAGTTTCCACTTTCTGAAATCAGAGAGAATAACGGGTCAGCAGTGTTACAATTCCAGTGCACTTTCCAAATTTATTTAATAAAATTATATTTCTTATAACAGAAGACCAGAAGTAAATCTTACAAAATAATCTCTAATGAATACTAATGGCAACAAGGTGTGAAGATTCAACATAAAAAATGGACATAATTGCATCAGTTGAATTCTATTCACATATTATTCCCACATGACCAATGTTCATTCATTCATTCATTCATTCACATTCCATAAAATCCTTACAAGGTTGAGATAACCAACAGATAGAGAAGTCGTAAACTAGTGAAATGCTACATTTGGAGCATGGCTTTGTATGGGGCTGAAACTTGGGCACTACACGGTAGCATAGTGGTTAAGGCACTATGCTACAAGTCGGAAGGTTGCGGGTTCAAATACCAATGAGGTCACTGGATTTTTTCAATTGACCTAATCCTTCTGGCTGCACTATGGCCCTGGGGTTCACTCAGCCTCTAACAGAAATGAGTACCAGGAATTAAATAAATAATTTTCCTGGGGAGTAAAGCACGGCCGGTGCGTAAGGCATAAGGCTGACAACCTTACCGCCATCTTTGAGCCGAGTGTCTAGATAATGTTAGAGCCTCAACGTCTCACAACCCTATAGGCCTTCATGGCCTGTCACAGGGATAGCTTTACTTTACTTAGTATACAAGATTTAAGTCACATCTAAAAATTTATCTTGAAAATAATAAGTAAGACATTGACAATTATAAAACTTTGTGGACCGGTGGCATATTTTTATGCCCAGCGCTTTTAAACGTGGTGGACCAGTGGCATATTATTATGATTTTTGGACACGTTATGTTGAAACACACTATACCTTGCACTGGCGCCAGGCAGACGCATGACTAGTGCGTGAGAGACCTCTTGAATGTTTGTTTCGTAGTCAGTAACATGAACCCACTGTTTATGACCCAACTGTTTTCTTTTCCCACTCCAAAAGAAAATGCCTTTGTTCATCTTCCAGCTGCATGCACCAGGCAGGAAGTTACTAGTGCAAAATGGATCAAGGTCAGAAGAGGTTGAGGTCCAAGCATTTTCTCGGAGAACAAGAAGTATTTGACTTGTTGTTATGGCCCAAATTTGAGATTGAAGAGGGTATGGTATTACCCAAAAGCTAGAGACTTGCGAAAAACGTCTCGCAGTTATTGCCGTAAATTGTAAACACCAGGACTGGCAATTAGGTTAAGAATGTGAATACGCAGCATGTCTATGTAATCGCAGAGCAATAGCTTACCTCACTCGTTCGCGGGATTAAATTGCTTACACAGCAATAAGACGCAACGGAGTCCGCCCACAACCACCCATGAGAGCCAATGAGGAGGTTATTATGAGGATTGAGGACACTGAGGGGGAGTTACCTACCCTCTGTCGTCAACGCTGAATCAGCGAAATAAAACCATAAATTAGGGAATTTCGGGGGATTTGGGATCACGTTCTATCACAGAATATTCAGTTGTCCGCCGGAGGCTCTCGGCGACATGTTTTAACACATAATATTCGGTTGTCAGCCGAAGGCTCTCTTCAACATGTGTACGACCAGCGGAGGCAGTGGGCCTGCATCTTGTACTACAGGTGGGTTTGTTTACGCATAATAGCCATGCTGATTGATAATATGGTGTTTAATAGTATTGGTGATAACAGTGTTGTTGAGCTATTTGAATGCGCAATCTCCAGTGTACCCAGTGAGCCCTTAGGGTAGGAAACTAGGATCGTGTAGAAGCATAGGATAGTAGTCAGGCAAGGAGAGACTTATATGTCGGTGTCAAGGTTACACCTAGGGTGTAGTGGTAAATATAGTATGTGGGAATTTAATATAGATATTTAAGGGTAGATCCCGTTTCGAGGGAACTTTATGAAAGATAGTAGAATTGTATATAAGCCGTAGTAAGAAATGTACAACAAAACGATTTATGTTACACGAGGAAGGCTTGCATGGCCCTTTAGATGAGTCAGAGAGAGAGAGAGGCTCAAGGCCTCCACCCCTGAAGGGGGAGAACTTGAAGAAACAGAATGTGTAGTAAAGATTCTATGTAGTAAAGACTGAAGGACAGTCTTTGTTGATAGTGTAAATAATGTAAATATCAATGTAAATAGATAGAATAGGAAACCGGGGATTGTGATTTACCCTCCACAACCACCTTCCTCGACCCATTCAGAAGATCCAACACCAATGAGAGTTGCAACTGCAGCCAAAGGCTTAAGAGGTGCTAAGAATAGACAGGGATAGGCTCCTGCCACACAAGCAGAGTTTAGTAGCCTGGATAACAACGCCCCTTAAGATATAATGATAAAGTGTAATAATAATGTATCAAGTCGCTACCTGTAAACTATATGAGGAGTGGTCAAGGAGCTATGACTATATGTCAGGGAGTAGTCCCCACGATCGAAAGGACAGATCACAGATGGTGGCAGCTTTTACCGAAAAGGAAACCCCGAAAAAGGATAATCCTAGCTAAGGGTGAGCTAGGATGATTGTGACAACTCCTTACTGAGCAAGTGACGGTGGAGGCAAGGAAGGATACCTCCACGGCCCCCTACTTGCGGCGTAACAGTGGTAGCAGAGGAGGCTGACTCCACACCCCCCCCCTGCGCTAGGGCACTACACTTGTTCTCCAATGAGCTATCTGACGTCCCTTGTGAGTCTGCTAGTGATAGCGACTAACAATCTGATAGTGAGTGTGGCAGGGGCAAACAAAAAATTGTGGCCACAGACAGTGAAAGTGAAAGTGACAGTAGCTCCAATGAAAGTGCGGGTAGCAACATTGCAGGGACAGCAACACAGGGAAAAGTAGACAAAACGCCTGCTTTGGGACAGTTTACTGGAATTCCAGGGGGGAAGCAAATTCAATTGGACCCAAATCCACAATTCACAATTCGAGCATGGTTGCTGTTCAAAGGAGACATGGACAGGTAAAGAAGCCTGTTTGTATTTCCGAGTATAATATGTTGATGAAGGGAGCTGATAGAGCCGATCAGTACTTGGCCTATTATTCTCTTCTTCGGAAAACAGTAAAGTGGACAAAGAAAGTTGCCTTGTGGCTTATAAACTGCAATTTTCAATTCATCTTTGGTTTTCAAAAATCTAAACCCTCATTCAAAATTGAAATACAAGGCATTTCTCTGAATGTGGCAAAAGCCTGGGCTACAGACCACATGGTGGCGGCAGACACAGTCTTAGTATGACCGGGGTCGTCTACTCCCACCCCAAGCAGGCCTCATTTTGAGACCCCTGGGCGGCTCTCAGGTGATATGCGGAAACATACCTCACGAAAATTGTGAAGAGTGAACATTTCAAGGGGAAGCAGCCTTCTAGGCAATGCCGTGTTTGCGCAATTCACAAGAAAAGGAGTAGGACTGCCTACATTTGCAAGTTTTGTGTAATCCCACTTCATATAGGGGAATGTTTCGAGAAATATCACACCATCAAGCACTTCTAGAAGCACTGGTAAGTGTTCTAAAAAAATTTAGTTCATAAAATTAATTAGGAGATTTTATATTAATTTTTAAAGTGAACAGTGCAGAAGTTAGGGTAGTAGGTTTAAAAATGCCGGCCCCCAGGGTGATTTAAATATTTAAATCGCCAGTCCGCAAAGTGTTAAGATAAAAAAATTCAGTCCAAATATTGTTTACTACTCATGCTTATACAATATGACAGTTATTTAAAAACCAGTTTATAATATAAGACAAGTTTGAAAGTTAAATATAATCTGTCGTATTACAGTAACCAATTTACAATATAAGATAAAGGTAATAAAGAATACAAATAATAATATTTACAACCTTAAAACGGTATAATCAAATAAGATCTGTTATAACAGATAACAGAAGTTATTTACAAAAAAGCTTTAGTCAACTAACATATTGGTTAAATTTCAATATAATATAATTACGCAAGCATTATCTCATAAAAATCTCTTCCAATGTGTAAAAAGAACTAAAATACAAAAATTCCTTTAAATTGCCCTTAAACCTTTCTATATCATTAAAAATTTCCTTAAGTGTATCAGGAAGTGCATTGTATATTTTACAGCCATATGATACACCCCATTTCCATATATCGCTAAATTAACCTGGGTCATATGTATATCCATAATGTGTCTAGTATTTTTTCATAGTGAACTTTGTTTGAATCAAATATTCTTCTGTTTTTTATAACAAACATCATCAAGGTGTATATATATTGTCTTCTTAAAGGAAATATATTCATATCCTTAAAATGTCCTCTACTTGAATCTCTTGAGCCACATCCTTTCATTATTCTTATAACTCTCTTTTGCAACTTAAAAACTCTTTTGGCATAAGACGAGTTACCCCAAAACATTATACCGTATGACATGACAGAATGAAAATATGAAAAATAAACACTTTTTAATGTTTTCATGGAGACCATTTGTTTTACATTTCTTATCATATAGCAGGCCATACTCAATATTTTACTTATATCTTGTATATGACCATCCCAAGTTATGTCATTTTGGATAGTCGGGCCAAGAAATTTTGTCTAATTAGCGCATGTTATAAGAGTATCAAGATCTCCCATATCTCTATCACACCTAATTTTTGCAGTGAAATTTATATGTTTTTATTATATTAAGAGACATTAAATTCTTTTTTGAACAGATCATCCAATATCCTGAATACTTCATTTGTTGTGGTTTTGAATTTTATTGTATTGGCATGAGAAATCAACACACAGGCATCATCAGCAAAAAGTATGGGAGTACTCATCACCTCCAATATTTTTGGTAAGTCATTTATATAAATTATGAACAGCACTGGTCCCAATATGGATCCTTGGGGGACACCATTGGTTATTTTAGTTATAACTCCCACTGGTCACCTATGCTACTATTTCTCCCACCTTCTCTCAGCTTTCTGATATTACAAAAATATAGTCCTTTTCAGGATCCTGTTCATTCGTCCCTTTCCTTGTTCCTAGTGGTTTGCTCTGGGCTCCAACCCAGGCCTATACCTGAATCCATTTTTCATTCATGGGTCACTCTGAATGCTTGTTGGTTTATTAATTAACTCTGAAGATGGAAGCAGTATGTTCCTCTGAAGTATAAGTAAACTTCTACCACACTACATCCCATAAGACACTATTCTTCTTAATTATATAAAATACACACATTCATCAACAGAGTAGATGTGTGGAAGAAGTAATTCTTTTTATGCCAACGGAAACTGTCTTTTGTTAGCAGATAGCCTTTCAATTAATAAAATCAGTCTGATACAAAATACAATTCCTGAATAAAATTCACCTTTTTGGAACAATTTAGCAATTGGCCTGTGGAGATCATGTCTGTGGCTAGTTTTCACTTTATTAACCTCTGAGTTTGAGTGAAAAATTTCACATTAACAAATACAGCATCAATTTAATTAAAGGAAATATATACTCAGAGGGAAGCATTAGTATGAAAATTTTAATTTCTCTGAGCACCAGCCATAATTCTGATTACTTTCTTCTGGAGGTGGAATACTTTATATCACAAATCCTAATTTTTCCATAAAACTATATCATATGATATGACTACACTGAAACATGCAAAATGAGCTGTCTTTGAAAGATCTACATGATGTGGATATCAACAGAGCTTGGAAAAACATCCAACACAATATCAAAACTTCAGCAAATGAAAGGATACAAATTGGATAATTTTCAGTCCAGTGTGACATACAAATTTACAACACTTCAGTCTTTATTCACCTTACATGTTTCGATTCAAAAGAATCATCCTCAGAGGCGCATCACTATGATCAGGAAACACTGTCGCATAAGATGTTTAACAATATGCACTTAAGCTATGAATAATGCTCACTATATAAATTTTTGTTATTATCACAGCTAGTTTAATGTTTGTCTTAAGCATTCATGATGACGCTTCTTGATGTGTAGATTTACGTATGATGCTGTTTCTTTTAAGCGTATTTGCTGGGTATTCTGATTGGGATCTCCCACTGCACGCGATGTGATGTTCACTTTTCCATTCAGTAGCTTCCCCTTGTATTTAAAATTGTATTGCAATTTCTTCTGTATGTAAAAAATTAGTTATGTTAAAATATCGTGAGCCAACATTGGGACATGTTTTCCTCCTGATGGTGGAAGATGTCGTTTATTTCTCTTGATTATATGTTCTTATTGTTAGTCATGTAGTTCACGTGCGTGCTGTGTCATTTGTACTTGTTTGAAGTGTTACAAACTTGTATGTCACACTGAACTAAAAAATTATCCAATTTGTAATTAATAGTGTGACGGACCAGAATGAGACAAATTAAATGAAAGGATGGGTTATTAAAAGTTACAACAGCATAAATCGTGGTCTGACGAAGAGTGCTTGAAATTATTAGACATAATGGAGCAAGATAAACCATTATGGTTGCAGAATCCAAGTCCAATGAATGCAATCTGGACAATATAAGCTGTGAAATTAGGAGACATTTCGGGAACAAATGGAATAGGCAAATATGAAACAGGATGATAATGGTATTGAAACCAAAGTATGAAAAAATACTACTGATCTGATTCCAGACAAAATAATTTAAGAAGCGATACAAAGTTACTTGGCAGGAAAATGACAACCTGCCTGAAGATTCCCACAGTATTATGAACATGCAAAAATTGTATTTAATTCAGCTATTAAACAGACTGATCAAGTAGGCAGATTGACATGCAGCTCAACCTTTAGTACCAGAGCCTACATATTCTGAATGAAATGTCTATTGTAAAACTGAAAAGATACACATCAGCAGTTACTGATCAAATTCCCACATAACAGATTAAGCATAAGGCAAAACCTTATGTTCAACGATCAGCGGTAACCAATCAAAATTGGTTCATGAGGAAGTTAAGACCACATTTAAATCTAGGGTATGCTTTCTAAAATTTGGAATCTTTTGTCTTCATAGTTAAGGATGTGCCCTGGGGAAAACATTTGGGCCTATAGGGAAGTTACAGGAGGCTGGAAAAGAATGCATAATGAGGAGATCTAGAATGCTAGCAGAGCCAACAAACCTACAGACTAAACACATTACAAACATAACTTATCAAGATTATAGCACATGCTAGGAAGTACTCCACATAAGCTTGGTATATGGTAGCACTTCAACAGTAATCTAGGTGAAGCTGGCGCTACATGTGAACATTTTCTGGCAACCAAAAGCATTTCTAACTTCTGCTATAATACCAGTAACCTATATCTGTAATATGAAGAATGCCGTCTTCTGGGATGTGGCGCCATGAAAACCTCAAACCTTAATCTGTATTGTGTTTGGGCTGTAAATTGTTTGGTTCTACTAGCAGTCTGAATCTTCATGACAAGATGAAAAAAGAGGTGTCCAACTATCTCATATGTGCAAGTCAGTAATTCTCATGGCATTCTAAAAATCTCCTTGCATTATTAAGATGAATAAACCAGGAAGTTTGAATGGGCAAAGCATATATCACAAATGGGGGAAATGAGAAATGTCTAAAACTTTGGTCAGAAAACATGAGAGGAAGAGACCGCTTGCGAGACTTAGGCAGTGATGGGAAGATAATACTGTAATGCATATGGAGTAACTCTTGATGGGGTTTTGGACTGGATATTGGAATTACTGACCATTTATACACACAACTTGGAACTACAAGTAACCACAGTGCCATTGCTAATCTCCACATTTTACAACTCATCACAGCACATACTAATATTATATTTGAGCACCCTGTTGCATTGATCTATAACTCATTCACCTCTGTCTTTAATGCAACTCAAACAGTGAACAACTGCATGAGGATGGACAAGTATGGTTGAAACATGTAGCAACTGATGTGATTTTAATGTTATTTTAAATTAAAGAGAGACTGTGAACAGATCTGAGTTGCATTAAGGATGGAGGTCAATGAGTGGAACACACTAAGTCCTTTCTAGCCTGCTGTGTCTTCACCAGCCATTCCTGGTAATGGATTCTGATAGTGGAGATTTTTCAGCTTCCATGCTGAAGTCTTCTTTGAAAGGCAGCTCCTTTCAAACTGTTTCCTTTCTTCACAAACACCCATACATAAATTACTTTTTTTTTATTACTTGGTGGGGTGGGACTGAGTCCACTTGGTACTGCGGCCACTTCTGGCCTATTGTACCAGCCCAAGATGATAGGTGAGGGTGATTATGGAGCAACTGGTGGAGTGAAGATTGGCAGGGGAAACCAAAGTACTCAGAGAAAACCTGCCCCTGTGCCACTTTGTCCACCACAAATCCCACCTGACCAGACTTGGGATTGAACCCAGGCCGCAGCGGTGGGAAGCCAGCGACTAACCGCTTGAGCTATGGTGCGGCCTCAGAAATGACTTGGTTGCCCAACTGTCTTCCTAGACATGGCCCCCGCAGACAATACAGCTCATTCTTGCATGCTAACCGTTTCCCCGGGAACTTGTCTGCCGATCCGTTCCCTAGTAGCGGCCGTCAATCTTGCTTATTAAGAATCTGCTGCCTAGCAACGGACGTCGGTCGGTTGTCTGTTTCGAGACCGTTGTCTAGAATTGAATGTTGTTTTAGAGCCGTTCCCCAGCAATGTCTGTTTCTCTGGGTCCATGGTTCTTGTTTTTAGTAAATATGTAGCAATACTAAGAAGGTTCTGATGGTAATAGGTTATAAGAATGTGGACTAACCTGGCTCAAGCCAGAACCCAATGTCAGTTAACGAAAACCGCAATGAACTTCCGGGTTCAATAAGAGACAATGGGGATTTCTTAACTAACAGCATCGCAAGGACTTGCTCCATGAATTTCGCTGCATGACATTTACATCTGCATATGACCTATAATAAATCCACACGTTTCCTCAGGCTGAATCTGTTAAAAGACTTTTCTTCTGTGTACTTCCACACAGCTACTAAAAGGCTTATCATCATGGGACAATGATATCTTGATTCGTGTTGTAATACGCACTACACGAAATTAAAATCCACAGTGGGTTTGAAAACAGCCTAAATGTCATGTGCTCAAACTGATTACTGTCTAGCGGACATAAAATACACCCTCTAATATACATTATCTGATATTTTGGTTGGAAACAACAGTCTGCACATGGTTCTTCAAGGAAGTAATACAGTTCATGGTGTCTTATACCAAATCTGATGAAAATACTTACCCATAAAACAGAGCAATTAAATGTACTATCCATTTACCGCACCAAAACACGAAGAAAAGTATTGCAAACCCGTATAACGTATAAATCACCGGCGCCATCTTGGCGACATCATGTACCAATCATGTACAATCATATACATCACGGACGTAGTTCTGCGAATGGACTAGGACTAGGGTATTCTCAGCCAATGAAGAGTACTGTCTAATGCAGTCAACTGTGTTGCCACCACGGATCGTAGTAACGGCAGTAATAGTAATCGTCGTAACCGGAGTAATGAACGTGACGAATGACAGCTGAATATCAAGCTGGGTTCAGATAGGAGAATTTGCGACATCTTCTTGAATAATTGGAATGATTCCTCTGTACTTGGTTCCTGTAGTTTTTAGTGCTCGCCGTCAGATGTCGGGACCGCTATGATACAATAAGATGTTTGTATGTCGACCGGATTAGCATTGTCTAGGCAATTTTTGTACACACGTGAGTAAAAAAAAGTTAAAAATAAAACTGGTTCATCACCCACGCCCCCCCAAACA